TGGGCCTTGGAGGATAGTCAACCAGGGAACACAGAAGTGTTGTGGGGCCAGGTTGAGAATCCTGTCAAGCTTGGGTACCATTGGGGGATTTCCACCCCCATACACTCTCAGTGAAGATGTCATTAGCCATCCAAAGTAGATCCAGAAACCTGAGGCTGGGGTGGTATCAGGAGTCATCTTTGGCTTTTCTCTTTCTGCTATGTGGCTCAGCCAATCAACCAGCAGGGCCTGTCCATTCACTTCTTCAAGAGCACTCTGAGTCCACCACTTCTCTCCATGCTCCCGCCCTCCTGAGGGTCCGGCCACCATCTTCTGTCTGTTGCATGCCCACCACAGCCTCTGTGAGCTCCCCCGCACTGGGTAAGGCTTGGGCACAGTGTGGAGAGGATCCACACCCAGCAGCCTGCCGAATCATCATCCCTACCTTGCACCCCTGTGGAATGGCCCTATGCTAGATCCCTCTTTTATAAAATAAACTTTTGATTTTAGAATAGTTTAGACTAACAAGAAAACTGCAAAGGATTGTACAGAGAATTCCCATATACCCCACACCCAGTGACCCCTGTTGTTAGGATCTTACATTAGTATGATACATTTGATACAATGAATGAACCAATATTGATGCTTGATTATTATTAACTCAAGTCCATTCTTTACTCAGATTGCCTCGGATTTTCCCTAATGTTCTTTTTCTGTTCCAGGAGCCTATCTGGGTTCCCACATTACGTTTAGTTGTCATATCCCTTTAGCTTTTCTTGGCTGTGACAGTTTCTCAGACTTTCCTTGACAGTGTAGGGAGTACTGGTCAAGTGGTAGAATGTCCCTCAGTTTGGGTGTGTCTGATGTTTTCTCACGATGAGACTGGACTAATGGGTTTTGGGAGGGGATCACAGAGGAAAATGCCATTCCCATCACATCTTCTCAAGGGCACTGTTAAAGAAAAAAATACTCGATGATACTTGTTACAGGTGGTAAGGCAGACTTTATTAGGACCATCTTGATAGCTATAGGGACCACTGCAGTGGGATTTTACAGTGGGGGAGAGAGGTGGGCTCAACTCCCAATACAGCATGGGTACGTAGGAATTTATAGCCAAGGAGCAGGGTGGGGGTCAGTGGACAGAAATTACTAAGAGGAAACATTTACTAAGAGTAAAGGAGATTCTGGTTAAGATTACCTAACAAGATTCAGGCTGAAGGCAGGCCAGGGTGATCAGACATTTCCTGGGGGATGGTGGAGGATGCGGAACCAGATCAGATATCGAGGGTGGGGGGTTCTGGGTAAATTGACTCAGCAGCGTTCTTGTTAAAACTAGATTTTACAAGGAAGTGCACAGATAGGCCTAGGAGAAGGTTCAGGAGCCTGACTAAAGCTTGGTCAAGCAGAGAATCTTTGTCAGTGCATGCTTTCCATGTGACTTATCACTGTTGATGTTGACCTTGATCATCTGGCTGAGGTCGTGTTTGCCAGGTTTCTCTGCTGTAAAACCACTCTCCCCCTCCCTCCTCTCTATAGTCTACCCTGTGGATGGAAGTCTCTATGCACAGCCTACAAGTTCAGAAGTGGGTTGTTATGTTCCACCTCCTTGAGAGTGGACTGCCTGCGTCAATTATTCGGGATTTTTCTGCTGGGAGATTTGTCTATTCTGCTAGGCACTTTTTATACACGTTATCCCCGTAATTTTCAGAATTGTGAGGTTGATATTATCTCTCATTTTCCAGATGCAGAAACAGAGACTCAGCAAAGTTGACTCACCTTCCCAGGACCACCCAGATTTTAAGTGGCAGGCTGGGGACTTGAATTTGGATGTTCTCAGAGCCAGCTCTCTTAAGTACTAAGCTCCCCGTCTACGCTGTCGCTTAATCGCTCCACTGAAACTATTTCGTCCAGAATTCACTTTTTCCCTGGCTCGCTTGTGCCCTTCTCTTAGGCAGGGTAGGGCTCACTGGGGGTGGTGGGGTGGGGTTGGGGTCTCTATGGTGAGCCCACCCTTTAAAAGGGCTTCTTCTGGGGACTTCAGGAACCAAATCCTATTCCATAAGGTCTAAGTTGGATTGGGCTGAAACTAGATTTCAGTATGGTGCATGCTTGGGTTCTGTTATGCAAAGAAGGCTGTCTTCTATCTACCATCCATATCTATCTACCTATCTAACTTACTAAAGAAAAGGAAAGCTCCCTTTGGTCAGTTTTGTCATGGTTTTTAAGAAGAAAGGTTAGTAGCATACATTCTTAGAGGCATCGGGTCCATCCTTGATTTCCATTGAACACGGTCATCTGCATGATAAGAGAGATTATTCTGCCATCCTGGGAAAGTTGGTGGGGAGCCGGGAGTGATTTCATGAGTCATCGAAAGCACACGCTTGCAGTTGGAACGAGCTGGCTGCGTGTTGGTTTTTCTGGGCTCAGCATAATATGCAGAACCCATCTGTATAATGGGCTGTTTACTTTGTGGATTTCCAATTTTTCCTCTCCCCGCCTGTTCAGAGTGTTTAGGATATATATCAGTGCAAAGGCCATCCTGCTGAAAATTGCCACCGACACACTCTTGCACGTTTTTTAAAGAAATGGCTCTAAACGAATTGCAATTCCTTTTACCTTGACCCTAGCTAAATCTAACTGACAGAAGCCGTGCAGCGTTGAGCTGACAGACAGACCTAACGGAGATCAAAGGACCCTCTCTCCCCCACAGTTTAGGGCAATTAAGCTGCTTTGGGCCCCCGACAGCCAGCAGCATCCCCTCCCCTGGTCGCTGTAAATGACAATAGAGGGCAAAGGGCGAAAATGAGTCAAAAAGCCTTAGCTGCTGGTTGGAACTGGTGAGTCACAGAGCTGCACGTGGCAGACACATGTTTCCAGCCTGTTAACTCCACACATGGTCATATTAGTCAGCATTTCTCTCTCAGAAAGCTGCGTGGTTCACCTGTTAATTTTTGCCATGAGTTCAGGAGATGGGCTGAGGTCTGTGGTAAGCCGACAGCAATGCTTCTAGAAGAGTCTGCACTCTGATTTTTGAAGTTGGTGAGAAGGATTGACTGTTACTTGGGCAGCAGCCTGCAGTGTACAGGTGCCCCTCAAGGAAGGAAACTGGGTCCTGGCCCGGACGTCCGGACGTCCGTCTCCGTCGGGTGTGATGGGAGCACAGAGCCCCTGAGCGCCACCGCGGGAGGAGTTCACATTCAGCTTGTGGGGATTCTCCAGGCTGCTGTGCCGTGGGCCTCAGTTCACTCAGCCTCCTCGGTCTGCAGGGCGAGGCGGGCGGGGCGAGCCTCGGGAAGCACCTTGCTTCTCAAGGCTGCCCGCCCTCGGGCGCGTCTCCTCTGCCAAGTCCCAAATCTCAGCCAGTGCCCTTAGCGAAATCAGCCAGGGAAGGAGTCTCATGGGTCCTGGCTTCTCAGTGGGGCAGAGGCCTCCCCAGGGGGTGGGGGTGGTGCCCTGTTAATGACAGAGAGTGCACTGAAATGTTCTCGTGGCCCCATACCTGCAGCCCTAACAGTGGGGCTTCCAAAGGCACATGCGTGGGGTGGGGATGAACGGGGGGGATTTCAGAGAGCTGGATCCTCAGCGTATAAGGATGGAGACTGGGCACCCAGCACCTCCAACCAGGCCCAAGAGGGGCTCCTGCAGACCACTCACATTCTAGAGGCTATGTTAGCCATCATCAGCAGAGGCCAGGATGGAGATGGCAGCTAAGAGGTGGGTGAAGGTGAGGAGGAGAGGAAGCTGTCTTCCACCTTGGTGTCTTCCACCACTGGTCCTGAAACAGTGAAGTCTGAGCCTCTAGGATAGTGGTTCTCAACGGGGCAATTTTGCCTCCACAGGGGACATCTGGCAATGTCTGGACACATTTTTGGGTGTCATAATCTGGGTGGGAAGAGGGGTGTGGTTGCTCCTGGCATCTAGTGGGTAGATCCAGGGATGCTGCTAACCATCCTACAATGCACAGGACAGTTCTACAACAAAAGATAATCCGGCCCCAAAGAGTCAATAGTGCCAGAGTTGAGTCCCTCCTCTAGGGGACTGAAGTGAGGGGTGGGGGGGTGGTGTGTCATTTCACACAAGGATTTAAGACGTATGGCCAGTGGGCATCAGGCAGCGTGGATATTTGACCCAAGAGCCTCTCTTTGTGGCCCAGGCAGTTCCGTTTGAGGACTCTCCCGCTCCATAGTGGTTTTCTGTGGGTGAGCCTGGAGAATCCTGGGAATCTTGCTTTTTACTTGACGTTCTCCTTATTGACCCCTATCTAAGAGCATGTGGGCTTTTTGAGAGTCCCTCTGGGAATGAGCAGAAAATCAGGTCGTTTTTGGAAGTGCATGGTGGTAAAGGAGAGAAATCTATATTCTCTAATGAATATCCTTACCTGCTTGGCTTATAGCTGAGGTCTTGGTAGCAACACTTTCTCTGTTCCCCACCTGTGTGTGTGTGTGTGTGAGAGAGAAAGAAAGAGACAGACAGACAGACAGACACTTCTGAGGGGTAACAGAGGGTGCAGCGTGAAGTGGCATATCCTGTTGCTCGGATGATGACTTTCTCCTCCCTGAAGCTTGGGAGCGCTAGGAACTGCCCTGAGATGCATTTTCCGTTTTGCATCTGTTTGCATTGGTGTCTCCTGCTGGGAGCTGACAGCATCCAGGACCTTACCCCTGACCAGCCAGTGTCTGCATGAGGCTAGCTCAGCGTTCCCACATGCCACCCCCAGCATCATTGCTCCCCAAGCTTCCTCCTTAACAGTTTGACAGGATAGCAGCTCCCAAGTGAGTTGGCCAAAGGGAAGAAGTGAACCAGCGATAGCAATGCTGTGGCCAGGGAGCTGTCCAGTGTCTTCCTGTTTCCTGGACTCTGTGAGAATTATTTCCTGAGGTCTGAGAGGCAAACTCCCATGCCCTGCAGGCAGGCTGTCCCCAGAGGTCCACCATGTGACGTTTCTCTCTCTGGGAAGGCCTCACTGGAATGTGCACTCTTTGTGGAGAGGGGTCAATACATGTGTGCAATTCTTTTTGCAGGGCACGCCATCATCACCAACTACTTGTTGAACTATTTCCCTGGTCTTGACCTTGAAAGGAGGAACGCGTGGGGGCTCACGGCCCTGATGAAAGCCGCCATGCAGGGCCGCACGGAGTGCATCCGAGCCCTGATGCTCGCAGGTACGTCTCTGCCGTCCTGTGCGGTCCCAGGGGTCCCGGGAGATGCTGATATGTGTTGAAGAGATGAATCAATCCCATAGAGACAAAGCCTAGTGGATGCAATGAAGAATAGTTTCTTTGGGGTTATGGCTGTCATCATCCAAGGTGAAACATAGAAAAACAAAAGCAACACGCCTTCAGGGTGGAGTGGGAGGTCACGCAATGGTCACCCTGTAGGACACCTGTCCTTGTTCCCTGATGAGCCCTTCCCTCACCCCTTACCCTCCTCCTGCTCGTATGTATTCTTCTTCAGAAACATGTGTTCTGGTCTTGGCTCTGGGCGGCAAGCCTGCCCTATTGAAGGTGGGCACAGGGATGGCAGGGGCGGCCCAGGAGCCATCCTAGATCCCTGCTTGCTGGTGGTTGGATTTGCATGGTGACGTGGTGTTCAGCAGTGTCCTTTTCCTGTGAAGCATCACAGACTGGAAAGTTCTCAGGCTTTGGCTTTGGATCAGCAGGCCCTCACCTTTGCCCTTTATGATCTTGTCATCTTGGAGGAAGCACTTCCATCTCTGTGCCCACCTGTGAAATGGGAGTAGTGATTCTTTCCCACCTCTCTAAGGATGAACTATGACACCAACTTTGTCAACTCTCAAGGGCTGTACAAATTCAGTGACCTACTAAGCTAAATTCCACGTGATTATCTCTAGTTCTTTTCCTCACTAAAATAGAATCCGTGATCATCGTTAGCACAACCTTACTGGGTAATTTTGAGAATTAAATGAGAAAATGTATGTAAAACACATATCCAGCACAGAGGTGGCATCTAACGTCTCAATCAGTGTGAGATGCTGTTGTCACCATTATTTAATTTATTGTGTTTTTGTTCTTGGCGCTGGGTTCAGCCACTCCCGCTTGGGGCTACGAGTTCATGGAGAGGTGGCATTTCCCTCCCGTCTTAGTCTCCCGGGGACAGCATCAAAGCTCTTCCAGGCAGCAGCCCAGGCTGGTAGTTCTGTTTAGATAACTTGCTGCTCCGTTTTTTTTTTTTTAATAAACTTTTATTTTGGAATAATTTTGGATGTATGGAAAAGTGACAGAGACGGTACAGAGTGCCCACACAGCCCCTCCGCGTCTCCCCATGTTACCATCTTACTGAGAGGCCGACATTGTACGTCACTATTCACTAAACTCCAGACTTGATTCTGATTTCACCAGATCTTCCATTAATGTCCCCTTTCTGTTCCAGGGCCCCAGCCAGCTCCCACATTCAGTGTCACATGTCCCCAGCCTCCTCTGGTCCGTGACGGTTTCTCAGTCTTCACTCCTTGTTCCTGACTTCGCGGTCTCAATACTGGCCACTGTGCAGTGCCCCACAGTCTGAGCCTGTCTGTCGTCTTCCTTGTGATTAGAATAGGGTTATAGGATTCACAACTCTCTTTGGGTTTTTTTTTTTTTTCCTCCTGCTTTAACCGGAGTGTTTTAGGGGATGCTGTAAGAAAAAGAAATTCAGTAAGCGAAGGCAGTGGCTTTGAAGATGAAAACCTTCCTGGAAATAAAAAAGATCCTAATTAAAATTAATCCCATTGATTGTGCTTTTGACTCAGGGATAGTTTCATTTTTTGAAAGTGAGATATCAGTTTCAACAGAGTTTAGGCCCTGCCTGTCGTATGTCCATGAGAGATGGTTCCTCCTAATTAAAAAGTGGTTATGATGCTTTTGTTTTTGGGAAAAGCTTCATCTGCTTTTACTACTTCTGGATCTAGTTATAACTGAGTGTAGATCTTTAGTAATTTACTTTATCAACCAAAAATTTATGGTGTCAATCACATCAGTGCATTTTTCCTGATGAATTAATTTGAATTACAAACCCTTTTGTTTTTAGGTCAGTTGCTTTCCGATCACTGGAAAATGCATGGGTTTTGCTGTCATTCTTTCTTCCTGGGTCTGGTGGAGGTTTCAGGTTCAATGCTAACGTTGTCTTTCTTCTCCTTCAGTTATTTGGATAACAAATCTGGTATTAGGTTTTATATACTTTCCCTTTCCTGTTCCCTCCTCGCAAGCGGTGCCCCATCAATGTCTCGAGTAATCCACATCAGTGCAAACCTCTCATGTGTCCCTCCCTGAACTGTGTGTGGTTGGAGCAGAATAATGGCCGACAGAACCAGTTCGGAAGCCAGATGCCTTGGTTTCAAATCCCGGCTCCTCCACTCACCCTCTCTATACCTGGGGCCAGTCACCTGACGCCCCGGGCCTCAGTTTCCTCTTCTACAAATGAGGCAAAGGACAGTAGTTACTGCAGGAAGTCACGCTGGGGACTGAATGAGTTCACACGTGGGAAGCCCTCGGACGCATGCCTGGCGTGGAGGAAACCTTCAGTCAATGTTGGTTGTTATTCTTGTTATTGGTGAATTTATGTGTCTAATAATTGCTGAATGAATGAAAAACTATGGTATATTTTTCACTTTGAAAAATATCCTTGTGATGAGATACTTAAACTTTCTTATTGAGGGTAATAAGCATGTAACTTGGGGCTTCTTAATCTTGGCACTATTGACATTTGGGGCCAGATAATTCCTTGTGGTGGGGCTGTCCTGGGAATTGTAGGATGTTTAGCAGCATCCCTGACCTCTGCTCACTAGGTAACTGTAGCATCCCCCAAGTTTTGACAACCAAAAATCTCACCACACATGGCCAAACGTCCCCTTGGGGGGAAGTCACCTCTGTTGAGAACCACTGATATAACTAACGTGACTGAGAAATGATGGAAAAAGTGGAAAGAGAATCTTTTCCCTCTTACATGCATTCCTCCTTCCAGCTTGTTCTATATTCCTTCTTTTTTTTTGGTGAGGAAGATTAGCCCTGAGCTAACATCTGTTGCCAATCCTCCTCTTTTTGCTGAGGAAGATTGGCCCTGAGCTAGCATCTGTGCCCATCCTCCTCTATTTTATATATGGGATGCCTGCCACAGCATGGCTTGATAAGCGGTGTGTATACCCACGCCAGGGATCGGAACCTGTGAACCCCAGGCTGCCGAAGCGGAGCACATGAACTTAACCACTATGCCGCCGGGCCAGCCCCCACATTCCTTCTTAAAATAAAAATCTGACACTTTTTTCAGGGAGCTTTGGAGCTGCCCTCTAAGGCTTTGGTTGTTTAACTTCTTGAATATTTTCATTTTCTACCATTACTGCTAAGTTAGCCTACACTTGTTTTTCCCAGGAAGGTGAGTTTCATTTTCTTTCACAGTAGATGTAAAAAACATGTGATTGAATGTCTTCCCTGGGTTTGGTGGACACAATAAGGAAACTTGAGATATTTTAAAAATTTGCACAAATAATTTTTTCTTCTTATTTCCATTTAAATATAGCAGTGTTAAGAAAAATTAAAGCCTTTAAAGATATTAATGCCTGAGTATTTCTCTGGATTGACACTTCAACATACAGTGTGTTTACGTATAGCTGAGGAAGGTACCTTGACAGCTAATCTCAGACTGGTCGTCCTGTGATCATTTTAAAAGCAAAAGGCAGAAGCATTACTACATATTAATGGCTAGGGTGAAAATGTATATCTCCTTCTCATTTTTTCAAGTGTAGTGTTCTTCTGCACCTGCGTGTATTTCTGCACCTGAGTTGAATTTCCGAGTTGTGATCTCATTATATTCAATAGGAACCCTTTCCTTTTAAAAATGAGGAACCATTGAATTGGACTCCCCCCTACATTTGGGGGGGGGGACTATTGTCAACTGTTTACATTTTCCAATAGTTCACAACATACAGACACATGTCAGCTTTTATCTTACCTTGTCAGGCAGAACAAAATACTGTTAGAATTATCAGAACTTTGAATTTTAATAAATATATAACCAGGTTCTGAAAAGCTGATCTATTGACTCTTTGGGTTTTGGCTTCCCAGGGAATAATGTGAGCTCTGCTGATGGGAATCACAGTGGGGGCTGCAGAATCTTGTTCAGTCAATGGAATATTAATGCCCCAAAGTGACAGGTCTGTTTAAATAAGCGGCTTGGAGAAGCCGTATGGAGGACGTGATTTTCTCCCAGGAGAGACTGAGCTCGGGCGAGTCCGGCAGGCCCCAGACTTGCTGGGAGAGCACACACCACACCCAAAGTGTGGTGGAGTGGCTGCAGCATTTGGGAAGCAAAACAAGCAAACAGAAGCCACGACGCCTCCTGGGATTCCAGGCAACAGAGCAGACGTAAAGGAGCAGGAGGCTTGTTCAGTGGGGATCCGAGAGAAGAGGCGCTCCTGTTGGTGGTCAGATGGTCATTCTTGTCCTGGGCAAGCCCTGACTCAGTGCTTCTGGAAAGCCAAATGATATGATGTCACGACAGAAGCTTCTTTCTGTTTATAAGGAAAACACAGGAATTTCCTGTGACCTGAGAATTTGCCACGTTGGAATAGTTTCAAGGTATTAGGCAGGGAAAGGGCTAAAAATCATATCACCCAGAGCAGTGCTTAGCCTGGGTACCCACAAAAGCAAACCCTGAGCCAAGGACTTGGGGACAAGTAGTTTTTCTGGAAGGCGACCCTGGGAAGTCGTGTGGGGGATAGAGAAGTGACACGGGGAAGACAGGAAAGCTAATAAATGTGTAATGATAAGCTGATTACCCTTGTGGGCAACTGGGAGCCAGCCCGGCTGAGATCCTCTGCAAGACGGAGGACAAGATGTCTCAGAAATGCCTTGAGCGGGGCAGGGGCCAGCTCGAGGTAGGTGCTCTGACCTCCCCACTGCCCTCCCATCAGGAGCTCTTTCCTGTGATGCTGCATCCTGATTTATCATATTGATTATACGCCAAGTGCCCAAGATACAGGCCAGAGGTGGCACAGGAGGAGGCCTGCAAGGCCTGTTTCAGACAGGAGCAGTGTCACCAACCTCATCGGTCCCTTTTGTCAGGATGCAGCAGCCTTCTCTTTGGTGCTCATTGACCACCTGTAAGGAAGGCTGGGAAAATGGAGAATAGGATTGCAAGTCATATAGGTTAGACCAATAATTCTCTATGGGGTGGGGGAGGTGTGGCCCCCCAGGGACATTTTTGGTTGTCACAACTGGTGGAGTGCTACTGGTATCTAGTGGGCAGAGACTGGGGAAGCTGTTAAAAAGTCCTACAATGCACAGGACAGCCCCCACAACAAATAGTGATCTGGCCCAAAATGTCAATAGATCCAAGGTTGAGAAACCCTGGGTTAGACCAGTCATGATGCATTCCCTAGAACTGAGTACGTTGCTGCCTTGAATAAAATAGAGGATCTTGTATAGACAACTCATAGCACTCAACATGGCAGCAGATGGACCCACTGGCAGGAGCCTAACTCCTGTCTGCATGTCTGGAGCCCTGGACGAAACAACGCTGGGTAGGAGGTGAGGATGCCAATAGTCTCATGAGCAGGAGGTGGATACATTGCCCTTTTGGAAGTTCCCCATAGTCTCTGAAAGGTATAAAGTGTTCGTCATCATTACTTATCTTTCACGATAGAATTACTATGCCCAGGCCTTTAATATTACCCTTAATAGTAATTTCTTAAGGAAGTGAATCCCTGATTTATAACGTTACTCAGATTCTTGGGCTCTGTTACAGTCAGAATAGCCTTTGTTTTTTAGAGCGTTAGTATTTTCAAGATTGTTTTGAAAAGGTACCAGAGCAACAGGAAGATGTGTGCTAGACTGTGGACAGCTGTTCCTTTAGTTTGCCATTAGCATTTGAAAAATATCTCATTCAAGCAGTGTTCATTAAGATTTTAATTTTGCAGTTTGTTCCTTTTTAAGTGACATGCAATTAATTAAGGTTTAATGTGTCATCTATTTTTTGAAGTGACATTTTTACTGCCCCCTTTTCATTTTAGTCAGTTTATAAATTGTACTCTAGCTAATGAGTTCCATTCTAATTTCCAGTTCCAAATAATTACCACTCTTCTAATGTGGCTATTCGTTAACGTGTCACAGAATTAAGAGCATTACCAGGTGAACTCAGGTGAACTGGGTCTGCCTGGGCCTGGGGCCACTGGGGAGCCAGGGCAGGAAGCCATTGAGCCCCCTACTCTTCTCAGCTGAGCGTATATTGAGCAGCCACTGCATGTCAGACACCTGGGTCTGCGTGGGATATAAATACAGGCGCCTCTGCCGGGCCTGGTTCCTGGGGGAGCTCACACACTAGATAATTGCCCTACTTCTTCTCATTGCTTTGCCAGTGGAAATATGACTAATGGGACTTGAAATCCAGAATGATTTTTAACTGTTTGTGGGGCTGAGCAGGGACAAAGAGTAACTGAACAGCAATTCCTTATTAATTTCTATATTAGCAAGCTAAAATTTATGAACATTTCATCGAATTGAAGTTTAACTTTGCAATATTAGGAGGGGGCAGTGGGTGAGATGGGAGATTTATTAAGGAAGTGACTAGTGTGGGGAGACTGTGAGGATGTAGGAGTCGGGGTTCTCTAGAGAAACAGAACTAATAGGAGATATATATTGAGATTTATTTAAAGGAATTGGCTCACGTGATTTTGGGGGTTGGCAAGCCCAAAATCTGTAGGGCACGCCAGCTGGCTGGAAACTTGGGCAGCAGCTGATGCTGCAGTCTTGAGGCTGAATTCCTTCTCCGGGAATCCTCAGCCTTTGCTCTTAAGGCCTTCAACTGATTGGACGAAGCCCACCCACATTCTCAAGGGTCATCTCCTTTAACATCAAGTCAACTGATTGTGGATGCAAACCACATCTACAAAATACCTTCACAGCACACCTAGTTTAGTGTTTGATTAAATCCCTGGGTACTACAGACTGGCCATGTTGACACAGAGCACTGTCACAGAGGAAGAGGCCTGCCTTGCAGGGGGGGTGGCAAGTGCATGGGGCTCAGGACCCGGAGACTCAGGTCTGAGACCTTCTGTCTGTTCCCAGCTTCGAGGCCTCAGGCAGGTTCCTTGGCCACTGTGACCACCATCCACTCTGTAACAAACCTTTGTTAAATGTATGCCTCCTACTAGCCAGGATGGCTTGTGTTGAGGGAACAAAAACGAGTAAGATGTGGCCTCTGTCCTGGAGAAGCCCACAGTCTGGCAAAGATGACAGAGGCATGAGCAACTGACTACTCAGATGAGAAGTGAAGGACCACACATTCCCTGCAAAATAGGAACCATAGCAGCCCTCACAAGAGATCTGTGAGGAAAAGTGAGATGATAGATAAATGGGACACCACATGCTTTGCAAGTGACACTTACTGTTAGTATTTTTAGACCATTCTAGTAGCATCAGTCAAGGGTTTGCAAAGCACATTTGTGGTCTAGTCATCTCTCCGTTGCTGGAAAGCCATGAAATCTTATTTCTTTAAAAACTTCCACGATTTAGATGCTGCGTTCAGGTGGTTTTATTTAGGAAGGATAAGCCATTAAATGGAGCCCTAAAAGGTGGGGTGTGTTGTAATAGTAATGCAGTAGGAGATGGTCAGATGTGGGTTCATCCAGGTGGCACAGCTCAGGGGCAGGTTTTGGAAGTTTTTCCTTTGATCCGTTTCATTGTCTTTCGTTTTCTGCCGCTGGCAGGGAGAAGCTCTTCTTGCATCCTCCTGATCCTGTTTGTGTTTTGCGTTTTACAGGGGCAGATATCCATGCCAGGGACTCGCGCCGCGGGATGTCGCCCCAGGAGTGGGCCGCTTACACGGGACGGTTTGAGGCGGTTCGCCTCATCCAGAGGCTGCTGGACCGACCCTGCCCGGAGCAGTTCGCCGAAAAGTACAAGCCAGAGCTGCCGCTGGCCTCCGAGGCAGTTCTGAAGCCCGCGGGCTCCAAAAATTGCCTGCAGAGGCTCACCGACTTTGTGCGGTCCACGCTGACCTCCCGCTCGCGCCAGGGCCTGGAGGATGGAGGGGTCCTGGACCACATGGTCAGGATGACCACGAGCCTCTACAGCCCCGCCGTGGCCATTGCCTGCCAGACCGTGTGCCCCGAGAACCCCCCTTGTGTGGGGAAAAGGCGGCTGGCGGTGCAGGAAATCCTGGAGGCTCACGGGGACCCGGACACGCATACCCAGGAGAGGAACGAGCTGGAGGGCACCGAGCAGCAATTTCGGACCTCCCTCGCAGTGGGGGTCTCCAGAGAGGGGGCCCCGAGAGCCAGCCTCCCGTCTCTCCAGCTGCCGCGTGCCCCGCAGAAGGCCAGCCTCCTGCCCCTGCCGCTGCTGAGGCGGAGCAGCGTGCGGCCGGGCGTGGTCATCCCCAAGGTGCGCATCAGCAAGGCGCCCGCGCCCACCTTCCACCCGGAGCGGGCGGCTCCGAAGGGCAGCACCAAGGACAGCGCCCACCTGCAGCTCCCCAAGTGGCGGTACAAGGAGATCAAAGAGGAAAAGAGGAAGGCGGAAGAGGCGGAGAAGCAGCGGGTGGCAGAGGCGCAGAAGCACAGACGGGCGCGGCCCTGGAGGAAAAGGACGTGAGAGGGTCCGCAGCCCGGAAGGCGTGTCCCAAGAGGGGAAGCAGGATGCAGAGCCTGGACGGGATGCGCGCTGCCCGGGGCCCGGGAGGCTGCGGCGGGGAGGATGCGCCTCCCTCCTGCCCTCGTCCCCTTCCGCGCCGCACATCCCCGCGCTGACGGGCTGCTTCGGGGGCCCAGAAAGCGGTCCATATTTGTTCAGGCTGCCCCCAAGAGTGAATTGGGCATAGCACAAATAGATTTGCCTAAAACCAGTTCTAGCAATCAATACACTGAGTAGGCAGTTTGCTGAAAACACTACCTTTAGAACCTCAATTAAATTCTCAAGACCAATTTATCGAAGGGCATTTTCTGTATAATTTTGTATTTTTAATCATGATCAAATTTGCAGCATTTTATGGGGGATGGGGCTCTTTGTATTTAAGACGGTTGTAATACATTTATCTGAAGACACTTTGTTTAAAATACTGTTTCTAGCAATAATTATTTGTGATATCTCTATGATTTCATACAGAATTTGTAGACTTCTCCCCCTTTTTGCTGTTTATTTTGGTTTTTGCCTTTCCTTCTCATTTGTGGGTGCGCATGAACACTGTATGTTCTTAATAATTCCATGAAGTGATGCTGAATGTTTCTATTCGATGGAGGCATTTACTTTTACTGCAATATGATCAAGTGAGACAGAGAGGTCAGATTTTCTTGGATCTTATTTCTTAAGCTCTCTTATCCACACAGTAATAATAATGGAGAAAAACCTCTTGTTAAAGTATGAAATGGTGCATAGAGAAGCATGTACTTATTGCTAGAACTAAACTCATTTTAAGCAAAGGATTTTAGATAAACTGGATACAAAGTCTTTAACATAGTCAAAAATAGATATGAGAAAAAACCTATTTAATAAAATAGGCGTAAATCTAATTATTACTAGAAATACAAAATTAAGTTGTATGTGCTCTTAGATAAATTGAATTCATATATCCTTAAAATGTAGAAAAGATGCAAAAAGAATAGGGAGCCCAAAGTGATGCAAACTACTGAAATGGGGGGGGGAGTAATTTTCAGAGGAACAGGGATTAAAATTGAATATTAAACTTGTTTTAGGCAAATTCTCCTGGAGTAGGCTGGGCCGCTCCCTCCTCCAGACTCAATTCCAAAGATTTCCTGCTGTGGAATTACTTTTATTTTTCCTTGGATGACTGCCCCTGATGTTCAGTTCATCCTCATGCCGACTTTGTGGAACTTCCAAGATGCAAGGACGTCGGCAGAGCGCGTATGGAATTTGCCTTGGGCCCTGAGCTCTCCGCAGGAGTTTTCTGTCCGTACTTTTTATCTCCAAAGCACTGAGAAATTCTACTGAATCCCTGGCTGTCCAGGTTGTAGAGTATCTGTCACATATGCACTACCGAGAGCACTTTATTGAAATATTATCCTACTTGGAAGTCATAGATTTAGAGTATGACAGACTGATTTGGAAGCTCTTTATTATAACCCTGGATTCTCAGATCAGATCGTGCTCCCTGGCTATATGGTGATGGGCGCTTGGCTGTCTTATGATGTGGGCAGGGATGGCGCTGGCCTCTTGCTATTTCTCCCAACTCAGCATCATCGGGCATTGAGCAATCAGGGGTCTCACACCCACCTCTCCGGAAACCTCTTTAAACAGGCCATCAGGCTGCACCTAGACTGATGGGAGATAGCTGTGATGATAATACAGCTTTTAAAGTCAGACTTTAGTGAGTTCCTCCCTCATCCCGGAAAGACACCAGAATGGCATAGAGGTGTAGACCCACTTGGAGCATCACTGATATTCGTTGGCTGTGGGTCATCCTTGTGCCTAAGAGTTGGGATTGGCCAAGTCCCCTTGGATGAGATGAAGGCTGGTCCCCGAGGTGGAGAGAGACACCCCTCGTCTCCCTGACAGTCTGATCTGGCATCCTTTGCGATTGTTTTTCATGTTTATGTATTTTATTGCTTTGGATGGCTGTCTGCATTTTCTCGATGAGGGGTCACCCCCTGCTCCTCTCCTCCAGTGTCAGTTGGGGGTAGGGGCACTGAGGGACAGTGATCCCCTTCTGCTCTCCACATGTCCCCTCAGCTTTGTCACCACACTCGTTCCTGGCCGTCCCCTTCGCCTCCTCTCTTCTTCCTCGCTTGCCTTTTCTTCCTTTGTCTGTTTTCTTCTCCAGATTTGGCTAAATGCCTTGATCCTCCCTGCCACCACTCCTCTGAGGTCTAAAAAGAGCAGGAAAGCAAGGACATCATGAGAGGCAATGTGGCATCTCTGCTGAATTATCATGTCACGACCTCCAACACCAAAGGGTGAACGAACGGCAGATTTCGCCAGCTTCTCTGCATGTGGTTTAGAATTTTGGCACAGCCCCCTCCACCATCACCTTTTTGTTTAGGGAGGGAGACCTAGTTTGCTCTCCTGGCAGATGACAGCACTGCCCTGCTGTTCAGAGCCAGGAGGATCCGGTGTCTGCTGGCACCCTGATGTTTATTAACTGTAAATAGTGAATTTCAAGTTGACAGGTACCTTCTCAGGGATTTATATATAAATATAGTTAGGGGAAAAGTTGAAGTATATTTTAATACTTTTTAGCATTTGAGTGAATTATGATTAAACTAGACAGAAGAAATATTTCTAAGACAATGTCAGTGCTGCTGCTTTCCAGGGAGATGCCCAGGAATCATCCCTCAGTTGAGATATCCTGGTTATTGGGAACCTGGACTCTGGTGGCTGAAATGGCTTTGGGGTGGACGTGAAGTCACTTCAGAACCTCTCAGTTGCCTCTTGTGGATGTGAACTATTGTATTTAAAAAAAATTTCAACTTCTATGTAAGTTGTGGTGGCTGTGATAACACAGATGGGCCATTCATGGCTTTTACCTCTAGAACTGGTTACTCCCGATGTGATACTGTGAGACTGATGCAGTTTTTTCTACTTGCTTATGTGAGTCTGTCCACAGCCAGCCCGGCGCTAAGCTCACTGCTGCGAAGGGGGAGGGAAAAGCTGGGAGAAGTCGCCTGGAATGACCTCAGTGTTCAGAGGCCATACGCTTCCCATGTCTTTGGTTACACTAGAGAAAGGCAGCACATGACATTATGGACCTTTACTTTTTCTGAAGCTCCTCCCAACAGGCTCCTGCCAGCACTAGATACCTCAGGAATGTGAAGATGGGAGATTGCAATACCTTCGTCATCTCAACTTCGGGCACTCCTAAGACTTGAGGCTCATTCTTCGGAGAAGGATAGAGAGATTTCATGATGTCAGTTGGACAATGGGACTTGTGGGTGCAGAGGAGCCATTCCAGGCTGCCTCTGCCACTTCCTTCTGTGTCAGTGGGTGACTAGGTCTCTGGAAGTCCAGCTTCTGGGTGGAGACGAGGCTGTTATCTGTGAAACTGAATCCTATGAGGTGGGGCCAGACCCCGGTACTGAAATAGAGGCAAAGCCTGCTGTTCCCAGGGAAGAATCATGGGTACCAAGTTATTATGAAGAAAAGCATCCCTGAGAGGTAAATAAATGAGCCACAACTGAGAAGTGGGTATAATTTATCTCTTGCAGCCTCTGGCAAGAGCACTGTATTTTTTCCCCTTGTCCACACTACAGTAAAAGAGGAGACCATCTTTTCATAATTTACCTAAGTTTTCTCTGTGAAGTGAGTTACAGCCCTGATGCAAGTCAAGTGTTATTCTTTCCCCCCCAGGTTCACCTGGAGATTCATGCTTGCTCATTTTCCATTCTAATACAATACAGTTATTCCCCGTAGGGTTAAGATTTATCATGAACTATTGTTAGCTCTTAGTCACAATCAGTCTTTTATATGATGAAGTACTAGCACTTTTTCTTTTTTACAGTATTTGGGGAAATTCTAACATGCTCCCCAAGTATTCGCTCATGACCCTTTCTGTCCCATTGTGGGTGACTTTGGATCCTGCACCAAAGGCTGTGTTCAGGGCCCTGTTCCTGTGTGCCTGGTCCTCAGTTTCCCTGGCTGCAGGCTTGTGCCAGCGCTCTCAGCTGGGCTACTGCCTGGAGGACCAGGGTCTTCTAGGCAAGGAAAGGCAGAAGGTGGATCATAACCGACCCTTATGAAACAACAAGGTCACATTCATGACAACTGGAATTGGGTCAATAATCATTGCAGAGGGAGTGTTGATAGCCACAAAGAACTTACAACAAAGATGGTTCTTCCTAAAACGCTGATTGCTGACTTAGTAATTTCACACCTTTTGATGCATTTAGAACTTGTTTCATATGTCTGTGTAACTCTTGAGTCAGCTTCTCATTTCTGTGCCCTTGAATTCACATGTTTCTTCATTAACATTTAAAATAAGTAGCTAAAAAAAAATTCCTCTGGAGGTTGTTTTTTTGAAAGAAAAAAAAAAAAAACCCCACCACTACTTGGATGGATTTAACTAATTTTCAAGTGACTCAGTTGAATGCCGGGCTCTGCGGGCACAATTTCCGCACTCGGACCCAGCCTGGAATGAGGCTGATGTGAAAGGCGTGGCCCCGGCTCCGGCAGCCCTCAGCAGCAGCTGGGCCCGAGTGGAGAGTGTGTGATGAGGTGTGAGTCTGTGCACACACCCACACACAAATGAACTGAAAGGAGAGTGGGCTTTGTGCTCACAATGGTGACTGCGGCTGTGGCATTGGTGTGGCTCCGAGGGAATGTCAGGTGTGACCTGTTTCAATGGTGTGTCTTCAGGAGGACTGGACAGCCCAAGAGTGACTGGGAGCACTCTGTCCAGTGTGACACGTCACTCAGCTAGCATGTCATAACCCAGGTCATCTTATTGAAAGGTGGTGTTGGCCCAGGTGGCTGTATAGGAGCTCCTCGGCCAGGTCCTACAACTGAGGCTGCGTCGTCTCTCTGCCTTTGACGTGCATCCTGGGCATGGAGAGGCCTGAACCGGGAGAGGACCATCTGCTTGGAGACTCCATGTGGCTGCAGGGTGGGGGCTGAATCCCCTGAAATTTGGCACCAGGTTCACTACAGAATCAACATCTTATCCTGAAGAAGTGTTGGGATTTTCCTGAGTCTGCCTAAGTAGTGGAAACTCTAATCAAAGCTAA